CACACACACACACACACACACACACACACACACACACACACACGATTCATTTGTGTTCACACAAACACGGGACACCACAGATCAGAAGCACAGGAGCCATCACAGTGCACGCTACGTGCGCATCAGGGCACCAGGCCGACAACTCTGGCACAAAAAAACAAAAACAAAAACAAATCTTCCTCCGTCTCGCTCTCCTGCTGACAGAGGACAATAACCGCCGGCCGCCTCGCCCTGCAGTTGTGTCACTCTGTGCGTCAGCATGTCTGCGTTTGTCCAAATGCACACGGCGTGCCACAGCGGATCACCGGCAACACCGCCCACGGCCCGTCCCACGTCCTGCTGTCACCGACGAGTGCCCACACGCAGTCTGACCGTCTGACCAAAGTGTCGGGGGGGAGTCAGCCCCGCTTAACTGTCACTTCCTTTTATCTCGATACTCACTCAGCTGTGAATTTGATCTGTCTATCTGCTTACACAAATTCCTACGTACTATCTGTGTGTTGCTCTTTTTATTGCTTCATGGCAAATGAACCAACTGTGCACAATAATATATATATATATATATATATATATATATATATATATATATAAATAAAATATTATCTATCTACTCTCACACATGTTTGTATATCAAAAGTTCTTTCAGACGTTCGTTTGAGGTGTTCAGCGCTGCAGTCTGTGGCTTTTTATTATTTTTATTGTGAAATCAGTGCAGGAGAGCAGTGCTCTCTGCGATGGGTTCACGAGTGGACAGTCTCCCCCTCGCTCTGCCCCTCCCGCACCAAATATGTTCTGCTTTGGCATGAAGGGTCTCCTGACAGTCACACGAGCTCCCGGTTGAACACAGAGAAGAAGAAGACGGGCCGACATCCTGAATAGAATCAATCCAGAGTTCACGGACGGTTGGAATCATGAACGCCTCTGATGCATGTGATTTAACTCTGATAAGTTAGTCCATCTATGTTGTTACGATAATGCTGTCAACATTCAGAGACCCAACTCTTAAACTACGTCATGAACAAAATGCTAACGTTACAATCCAGCTGGGTTGACACACCTTCCATTCACACGATGGGTATGGAATGAAGTGATCTCTATCTATAAACAGCATAGAACCATTACAGTTCTAATGCACATTCTATAAATGTAAAGATTGAATATGTAGCTGAAGACACAGTGACATCCAGGCCCGTTACCTCGACTCTTTAACTGTCAAGGACACATTGTAGTTGACATGAAGGACCTTGGGCAGCAGCACTGGGGTGGTTTACCGTCATAGTTTAGTGCTAAACCATCTTCACTAGAGCAGCAGGTGGGACATTTGGACAGTAACCGCTCAGAGTCACAGCAGCGGCCCGCTACTCTGCTTATCTTCGGGCTGCTATCGTCCCTGTGGCTGAATGGCACCCCGGCAGATCGGAAACGGCAGCCAGTGTGTCCGGCGGTGCCCGATGCTATCAGTCACTGAGGTGCAGCTGCGGTTCGTCTTACATTACACGGATTCTCCTCCCGCTCAGTGCAGGACGGAATCGGATAAAGAGGCGGACGTGATGTGGTTCAGGGCGGGATGAACGTGGATGATCTCAGGTTTAATTATCAGGTCGATTTCAAATCAAATAATGAATTTAAACTTGGGTGACAATCAACACTCCCACTGAACCCCATCCCATGCTCCGCCGGCCTCCACCGTATCGGTCTCACCTGCCCTGGTGTCGTCATTGTCCAGCAGGGGCACATAGGCTGTCTTCCCCACCGTCTCCCCGACCTGGTCGTCGAAGGCCTCCGCCTCCAGCTGGGCCACGAAGTCCCTCTCCACCAGGCTCTCCGGGCCCGGCTGGGGAGCGCCGTCCGTCAGCGCGTCGCTCAGACTCAGGTCTAACTCCGCCATGGCTGCACACAAGAAGAGACGGAGAGGACAGTAAGCCTGTTATCATGCTAAACACACGAAATGTCCAACAACAAAGCTCCTGTCCCTCAAACCCCCCCAAAACAACCGTCCCCAATCAGTAGAATCCTTCACTACCACAAGCCTCTAAACATGGCCGTAAACTCCGATAGAACCACTCCCACAGACAACTGGCAAGATGATATGCTGAAAAACAGAGGATAAAATGATTCTGTATGATTAAAAATGTGCTTTTATCAACTATTAACATGTAATGTTTACAGAAATGTGCATCCTGGTGTGTCTCCCTCTCCCCTTCCTAAACAAAGAAGACTTCATTTCACTTAATTTTCCCTCCAGGATTCCTTACAGCCCTCTTCAAAATGAGACCAAACTTTGAGGGATGTCAGCTTTTGAGGCCAGAATGTGGCCAACAGACCGGGTAAGGCTTGTTTTTAGCATAGCTGATTGCCAAAAATGCCTTTTGCTACTGAAGCAGTTGTAGATCACATGTGGCCCCTACCGCAGCAGTAAATGACGGTAAAAAAGAGTCAATAAAACAGATTTACAAAACTACGCGAGGTCACGGAGCATACAGTCATAAATGTGTACAAAACACATTAGGCTGATGGGTCTGGTAGTATGCAGGATTAGCCGTGGACAGACAGACATGCGCGCACACACGACCTGCTGGACGTTATTGGAGATAATGAATATGAATGTATAATAATAGAAAACATAAAGAAATAGTCCTGAGAAGCGATCATTTTAAAATCACGGGGAAACCTTAAACACTAGTCCAAACTATATGATCAATCAAAACATTACAAAAATGCAACTGAAATATGGAACCTAGAACACATCTTGAAATTAGAAAGGGGGAGAAGGAGGCGGACCCCGCCGCTGAAAGGGAGCAGTGAAGATGAAAGACGTGGAGGTAGGGCTGACCCACGGAGGAAGAAAGTGAGAGAGAGAGAGGGAGCTGGAGAGAAGTGGTTAAAGGAAGTGAGAAGGCAAAATCTATCTGAACCTAAACCCTACGCAACGACAACAGAGTAAAAGAACAGTTTCAGCCGATTGCATCATAGTCTTAAATCTGACAAGCACGATAAACTAAACGACTACATCCATTTGCTTTCCTCGATCACGGGGACAATCTGATGTGAACCGAACTGGACTAATGCAGGACCTGGACCTACATGGTGGCAGGACATCCATCCTGCTAAATCACACACACACACACACACGCACGCACACTAAATGTCTGACCTCTGACCTCTCTGGTGTTTAGAACCTACATGTAATACCACGTCCTACCACAAGGAGGCGCAGTTACATCTGGGAGTGTGCTGTGTGAAAGACATGCATGACTTGGTGCAACACTGAAGCACAATCTGTACCTAAACATGGACACACACACACACACACACACACACACACACACACACACACACACACACACCAGCTCATCTGGGAGTTCAGCTGACCAACAGCCACCAGGGGACTTTCATGAGTCATGGCGTGTCATCTTCCAACTATAATTCCAGATTATTTTGGGCGCCAGCAGCAGCCAGCCTCCCTCTGCTCACCGTGTTTATCCCTCTCATCTCTCCGTCGTTACGCTTTTATCGTCTTTACATCTCTGCCCGTACGAAGCGTCCCTCTCTTTCTGTCTGAGATCAGTCAGCTTCCTCAAACAGTCAAACATGACTCCACGGCCCCCTCTGCTGGAGTATCTGCTCATCACTACAGGAGAACAGGCACAGGTGCACTACGTTCTATGGATGGCTTTTTATTAGTTCACGTTTCATGGAAATCTGAATGCTTCAGCAGACAAGCACACCTTGAGGAAGGCCCCTTTTTCTGGTTCAACATGACAATGACCTCATGCACAGGGGCCAAAATGGTCGCTGGTGTGAAAGGACTTGACTGGCCTGCACAGAGACCTGACCTGAACCCCGTCCAACACCTCTGGAGTGAACTTGAAGCACATTGAGCCAGGTCTTACCACCTGGACCTCACTAAGACAAGATGATCACCTGATACAGCGGTGTCGGGTCCTGTTGCACCGCGTCTCCGTCACAGTATCAATGTCAAATGGAAGCTCTCTCAGTTTATCCCAGGTAAGACGTCCTGTCTTACCTGGGATAAACTGAGAGAGCGTTTTGCAGTTTTTTGTCTATTTTCCTCCCCATTGTTGCTCGGCAACGACCCTAATGAGAGCCAACGTTAGCTTGACACAAACCATCAACTGTAAGGTACCCAATAATTAACAGCACCCATCAAAAATGAAAGAAAATAACCTATTATCATTATTGTTATTACTCGCAAGTACCACACTAATTTGTCTCCTGATCAGATCACGGTAACCACAGCTGTCATGTAGCTCCGTGTTTCCAGCAACAAACCCACTGATGATGCTGTGCGCCTATCCGCTGTGAGTTTAATATTTTTCAACTCGAGGCGTTCAGGGCGCTCCAGTAAAAAACGCTAGGCCATTACAGTCGATAAATTCTGAGGGGAATTTACAAGTTGAGAAAAACTACTGGCCCGGTTATCAAGATGCTCAGCAGGAGGGAGTGGTATGGACCTGGCAGGAAGCCCTTACATTTGGGAGCAGATCCAAAGCACGTGGTGGAATTATTTTTCACTGTCGTGAACAGTGCGAGGGTGTTTGGCCTCTAGGAGTACCCTTCAGTTAAATATTCAAATCATGTCAACTGTAGATCAATGCAGCCATTTATTTACAGTGCCCTCCAGAATTATTGGCACCCTTTAGTAAAAATGAGCAAAACAGGCTGTGAAAAAATGTCTTTATTGTTTATCCTCATGATCTTTCATTCAAAATATTCACAAAAATCTAACCTTTAACTGAAGTAACATAATTGAACGAAACATTAAATTCTTATCCTGAAACAAATCGTTTTCTCAAAAATATATGTGCCACAATTATTGGCACTCCATTTAATATTTTGTGCAGCCTCCCTTTGCCAAGATAACAGCTGTGAGTCTTCTCCTCTAATGCGTGATGAGGTTGGTGAACACATGGCACTGGATCTGAGACCATTCCTCCATGCAGAATCTCTCCAGATCCTTCAGATCCCGAGGTCGACTTGTGGACTCTCCTCTTCAGCTCATCCCACAGATCTTCTATGGGGTTTAGGTCGGGGGACTGTGATGGCCATGGCAAAACCTGTATTCTGTGGTCGGTGAACCATCTTTGTGTAGATTTTAAGGTGTGCTTCGGATCATTGTCCTGCTGGAAGGTCCAACCACGGCCCATTTTAAGCTTCCTGGCAGAGGCTGCTAGGTTTTCATTTAATATCTGCTGGTATTTGATGGAGTCCATGATACCATGTATCCTAACAAGATGTCCAGGGCCTTTGGAAGAAAAACAGCCCCACAACATCAAAGATCCGCCACCATACTTCACAGTCGGCATGAGGTGCTTCTCTGTGTGGCTATCTTCTGTCTACGCCAAACCCACCTTTGATGTTTGTTGCCAAAAAGCTCTATTTTGATCTCATCTGACCATATAACCGGTCCCATTGAAAGTCCCAGTGACGTTTGGCAAACTGTAGGCGCTTTAGTTTGTCGTTGATTGACAGCAGAGGCTTTTTTCTGGCAACCCTCCCAAACAACTTGTGGTGATGTAGGTGGCGTCTGATGGTAGTTTTGGAGACTTTCTGACCCCAAGACTCAACTAACCTCTGCAGTTCTCCAGCTGTGATCCTTGGAGATTCTCTTGCCAGTCGAACCATCCTCCTCGCGGTGCGTGGGGTCAATGTACACACAGGTCCTCTTCCAGGCTGATTCTTAACATCTCCCGTCGCTTTAAACTTCTTAATTATTGCCCTGATAGTGGAAATGGGTATTTTCAACTGTTTAGAGATTTTCTTATATCCTTTTCCTGATTTGTGCAGCTCAACAACTTTTCGTCGCACATCGTCACTGTGTTCTCGGCTCTTTCCCTCAGTGATGAATGACTAAGGGAATTTGGCCTGTGTCACCTCATATTTATACCCCAGTGAAACAGGAAGTCATGGTTGACCACTTAAGAGTGCCTAATCAAACAGGTGAACTTAAAAATGTAAAATATGACTGGAATTATACTTCAGTTAGATTTTAATCATGAGATTTTCTAGGGGTACACATTTTTTTTTTCTTTCAATAATTTTACTTCAATGAAAAGGTAAGATTTTTGTGAATATTTTGAGTGAAAGACCAAGAGGATAAACAGCAAAGAATTTTTTTCACAGCCTGTTTTGCTCAAATTCTCTAAAGGTGCCAACGATTCTGGAGGGCACTGTACATTCAAAAGATAATTTCACGTTCCAGAGACGTGTTATCCTGTCAAACACACAACCAGTCATTCATCCATCAGTCACATGGACAGACAGACAAAGTCTTACTAACTCTACATAGTGAACAATAGGTGGTTTCTGAGGCAGCAACATAAATAAACTGTACGTGGGCGTCTACCAGTGTATCAGCAGGCTGAATGAGCCCCGGTGCAGAGACCAGGGTGTGTCAGGAAGACTCCCACCACAAAGCCATGCTGGTCACAAACACTGCCCCACTTTCCACATTTAACCACACATCCTCTGTGTGTGTTTAGTACACACTGTACCAGCTGCAGAGTCAGCCGGGTGATCCGTGCCGCCCAGTCCACCCAGTAGAGACCCGTCACAGACGTTCTGGAGCTATAGGAGTCCTTCACCTTCCATATCTACAGAGAGGTCCCCCCATCACCACAGGAGCAGAACCCTTTCATTAGCCTGTTCTCTTTTGTTTGACCCTAGCAAGGTGCCGTAGTTTGAGCCGAGCTCCTGTTTTCCAGGTTTGGTGTGGCCACTCGGAAATAATCTGGATTCAACAAAGGAAGGAAATCCATGCAAGAGGCACTTTCTATTGTGTTGAGTGCGAGGGTGTGTGAATGCTGTGTGTGGATTAGTCACGTGTGACGGCCTCTCTGTTGGCCCTCTCAGGAACAGACTGAAGACTAAAGACTGATGCATTTTGTATTTTTGTATA